ATTAGATTATCGTGTTTTTAATGCGTTTTGATTGTGAATTGTAAGTTTTGGTTGGTTGGTTGATTGTGATAGTGTTGATTCTCATATGGGGGTAGTTCAGTGACTTGATGCTTTGCACAATGACATATTAAAGTGCCTCTTTTTGTTTATTTTTCTACACTTTTTAGATAAAATGTTTCCTTTTTGGCTTGATAGTTGGCGTATTATTTGTCGGTTGAGTTAGTTCGTGTAGTTTCTGAAGTGTTTGATGTTCCAGATTTGTAGTAGGTGTTACCGATTTTATTTACTTGTGGTTGGTTGGGATGTGTTATACGGCTTTACATTGATGCATCAAAGATTATGTCCGTTTTGTTTTAGACTGTACACGTCCCATATACGACAACCTTTTTAGACTTGATAGTTGGCTTATTATTTGTCAGTTGAGGTAGTTCATGTAGTTTCCAAATTGTTTGATGTTCCATTTTTGTAGTAGGCATTGCTGACATTGTACCCAAACCAGACACATTTATTACGTTTGGTTGGTGCTTGTGGCTGTGTTCTACGGCTTTAAATTGATGCAGCGAAGCTTATGCCCTTTTCATTTTAGATTGTACACGTCCCATATGCGACAATCCTTTCAATAAGCATCACGTGGTTATAGACACGTAACACCATGCCCCAAGACAGTAGTGCACTCTTAACTTTCGTGTGTCTGTTTCATTTTATGCTGGAACTTTAAAACCTAGTATACAACATGTTACAAACATTTTACTTGAATTTGTGCAGAATGTGCCCTATGTGTTTGTCCCTTCGAAGCAAGCACTTGGACGAGCATGCGGTGTCACAAGACCCGTCATTGCCGCCTCTGTGACAACAAACGAGGGAAGTCAATTGAAGTCACAAATACAACAACTCAAGGTACTCTTCGTTCTAGTTTTAAACTACAGTTTCTGGATTTAGTTCTGTATTCTAAACATCGTATATGATGAACTGCAGGATGCCATTGAGAAGCTCCTTATCTAAACTATTTCGGAATGCATACTCGGTGTGATGGGCCTCTCGGACTGTAGCGAGAGCCTTCAGAGGCTTTGACTGATGGAGTTGTTGTGTACTAGGAATCCTTTCATGTTCACTTTGTATTGAAATTTTTGTTTTTAACGAACTGCTTGGCAGCATGAATCTGAAGTATATTTGGATGAATTCGAGTTGGGTGTTGCTGTTTAAGTACAATCTTGTGTAAAAACTTGCATGGATTGATTGCGTTATTCTTCGGTTGCTGTTTCAGGTGAGGTCATTAGTAATGCTTTAGCAAAATTACTTGGTGTTTCGGTGTCTCTTGTACGCTAGGCAGCGTTCTTACTCGGAGCTAATGTCGTTTTGGTGGTTGCATATAGAGCTCCTCCAGCTGAATGAGCACCCTTTTTCGACGCTACATTTTGGTTAAGAATCATTGTTTCGGAACGTGTTCGTGTTCAAAGATCCTTAGGCTAAGATCTAGTAATGCCACTTCTGAAAGTATGGTGTTTTCTGTATGGTGGTGTCATCTGACCTCATGTTGGTCCCTTTTACTGTCTTAGTTAGAGCCTTAACGAAGTTTTTCGCAATCTTGTACACAATCATGGTCATCATCGAACTTAGAGGAGTTAAATCAATGATTTCAAGTAATCAAAGTCGAAAATTTCAAGAATTCTTATTGCAATTCGAGAGAAAATGCTTGTGTGTAGAAAGGTGTAATTTACGTCCTTGGACAAAGATTCACTATGGATTTCACTATCTAGAGTAATTTACATACTTGGATAGGGTTCCACTTTGGATTTCACTATACGGAGCCTAAGGATCAGACAATACAGACCACTCAAATTGAATAGACGATCCCCATTAACTCATTATGTTGGCCCCCACCACACACAAACTATTGTCTTCGATTTCTCTTTCACACAAATTAAGAGTTTAGATTTTCTGGTCATCAAGCTAAAGTCCAAAGAGAATCCAAATTTCACGTCCTGAGGAAAGAGGCAGAGTAAATAATACTTGGAGTTGGTGCAGGGCTCTATGGACTTGTACGAATTATCTAACACAAATTAATGTCACGTGTACATATTGCAATTATAACGTGAGATCAACGTCAAGTGGTCGTGCCGGAGTGGTTATCGGGCATGACTAGAAATCATGTGGGCTTCGCCCGCGCAGGTTCGAATCCTGCCGACCACGATTTTATATTTTTATCTTTCAGTTTTTTTTTATTTTTTGGTGATATACTCGGTAGAGTAGATTGCATTATCCTTGACCAAAAAAAATTACACTTTTTCTTAGTCGGATGAATAGTACGAGTTATTGTATATTTAATTATTAACTTTATATTATTTTTCGTATTGGTTAATCTATAAGTTGATATAAACACGACATATATATAAATAGATAAAACTAAATGCAACTCATTATTACTGTTAAATGCTTCAAATTGTTGACAATTGATATATGCTATCTTAAAAGATGAATTTCCCTTTCTATTTTCTTTGAACTTTGGCTACAAAGGAATAATTAGAGTACACTAATGGAAGCTTTTAATCCAGTTAGGCTAGAGAATGGACTCCGCCTCAAGCCACGTCAACATTTAATAGAGAAATTGGCAGAACAACTAATGAATGTCTGATATTGCAACAAATTTGTAAGATGAGGTATGACATTGTAATTTTTAAAACATGAGGTATGAGATTATAATTCGACTCATAATTAAAGTAGTTTTGTGTAATTTACCCTCATATTTATTACAACTGGAATTGCTAAGAAGGTCAGACTAAGAGTCACAATCGCTGATAAGGAACAGGTGATGATATGCCCAATTGCCCACCCATCCGCACTATTTCTCCACCCACTTTTTAAAGATAATTTTATTGACATCTCTAACCTTTACAAAATGACTAATAAGACCATCTTTAACCTTTTATTCTTTTCTGTTTTTGTGTGTGTGTGTTAAATTCTTCTTACTTTTTGTAAACTTTAATTTTCAATTAAAAAAAAATTGAAAATAGAATGAACGAAAACATGAGCCCAGCAAGTTGAAGCCATCGCAACGGCACCAACCAAGTTGAAATCACCGTTTTCCTCATCTTTTATGTCAATTCCTTTCTATCCATTCCAACTCTTCATCAGACATCGTAGACCAATTTCAATTACCTTAAGAAACCTTACTCTTTTTCTCTCTCTTATACCCATTAATAGTTTCGGCAATCCGCGTGGAACTGTGTTCAGGTCATATAGTTGATATGGTTTGGATACCCTCTTCTTCGATTAATCCTCTACTTGAGTTGTAATTGCATGGAGCGACTACGAGGTTGATCGAGAATCTTGCTCATCCTTACAGTCTTGATAAAATTAGAGATAGAGTTGGCTGACAGTGAGAAGGGGATTGCTTGCCGTCAAGTGGTCGTGGGGGTTTGGTGGGTGGATGTGTGGGGGTGGCTAATTTTCTTTGTAAGGGATAGTTGAAGAATATCAGTGGGTGGGAAAAGTGCATTCTTTCTTTTTTACTTTTCGAATAGGTGTTGGTTCTAAAAACTACTTAGCCTACATGGCGTGCAGACTGAATAACTAATAAGCTAACTACGTCATTCGGTTGAATGCGGGGTGTGCCAACTCGACGGCTGAGCTTGGTCAGGGAGTGAATGAATGTTGATGTGGCGTTAGGTGCGCTAATGACTTTTGAATCTTGTGACTGCGGCTGAGGAAGGAACACATATCGACCTTCGGGTTCTAGGGCATGAAGACAAGGCTACTAGTTATGCGAAGTTCAATATCAAATTCGGCTTTCAATGTGCCGAATGTCGTAACCTGGTAATACCTCACTTCACTGAGAATGCTGATGAGACGACCTCTTCCAACAAGGACTCGGAAATCCTTGCTGACCAAGACTTAGATAGATAACCAGTCGGTCCCAAAGCAGTGTTGTTTATCCAAATTTAAGGTACTTATCGGTCGGCTGATTCTACGGTTCCAGTGTTGTTTATCCAAACTAAAGATGTTGCCGATTGCCAACACAGTGTTGTTTATCCAAACTGAGGGTATGTTGGCGGGAAAAAGGAAAATAATAATCTCAAGATGTTTGAGAGGTTTCACGTAGAGTAAGAGTTTGCAGAAGGTAGCTTTGTGTGTTGATTTGGAGGGGCTTTGAATGATGCACACCCCTCTTTATTTATATTAGTAATTCCCTCACGACCGAAGTAAAGTTCCATTCGGACTAGAATTCCTTAACCAAATTTGAATGGGTCTCGGCCAATCCTGGTTCATTTAGGACTCTGAATCAAGTTCCTTTATCATCTAAATTCAACCCTTGAATCTTAACATCTTTTCTTATTCGAAGCATAACTAGCCTTTGAGGATTCCTTGTTATAAGAGGATTCGGACACCCTTCCTTATCCAGATGAAACCACTTCCTAATAGGATTCGACCAAATCCCACTGGGCCAGGCCCTTGGTGAGAATATTCTTAACGCTTCTATTAGACCGAGAGTAATCATGGGCTCAGCCCAAAAATAATGGGGTGGGAAAATAAAGTTGGTGGAGAAATAAGATTGTGGGGTGGGTTTAGTAGCTCTCTAAAAGGAAATAAGCTCACTTTTTCGGATAAGGAAATAAAGAACCTGTTAAGATGGTCAAAATAAGAGCCGCAAGGAAATTGCTCAGAAGAAGTTTGTGTACGAAGATTCGAAGAACCATATTCTTTCTTGATTACACAGGCAGAAGTGCGTCATGGGAAAACAGCATGAGTCCAACTGGAAGACTACAATGCCGGTCCCTACTGAAATACTCAAAAATACTGAAAAAGAAGAGTTAAGAAAAGGCCATGAAACATGTCTGAACCTTCCATGACACATTAAAATCGGTGAATCTTACCGCCTGTCGCTGTCGTTATTGTGCGTCATGGGAATTTAGGAAGGTCTACAGGAAATTGTGTTTCTGATTCCTCCATATACTGTAATTGCCAGCAAGTTTCCGAAACTCAGCAGAAAAAAAAATTAATAAATAAGGAAAAACCTGGCGCCACCTATAAATAATTTGAGGACATGAAGCCAAGAGAGAAGCAAGAAAAGAGTGAAAGGGAGGTCAATTAGCATCCATAAATAGAAATTAGCCATACAATGTCTGCGTCTGCGTGGGCTATCTTAAGAGAATGCTTTCCACTGAGTGTCTTAAGTCACATTGATTGGATCTATCCAGTGGTAGTCGGTTCCATTTATTATCCTTACATCAAAATCAAATTCAGTGACTGTTCTGGAGAGTAGAGTCTGACGCAGAGTGCAGCCTTCTCCGCCATTGACAACCACTTGAGGTCCAAAGCTTCCAAAGAAGCAAAGCGGCTGCGTGGCTACGTGAAGAAAAACCAGTCCCTTGTGCTTAGCATGGATCTTAATGAAGAGGTTGCTGACGAGTTTCAAGGAGCCAAAGTATGGTGGGCTTTAGAGAAAACCATTGCTATGCAACATTCGGCGCACCCTCTGGTTCCTTGTGAGAGATGGCACTACAAGCTCACTTTCCATAAAACGCACAGGGCTCTCATTGTTGGGCCTTATATCAAACATGTCATGAAAGAGGGCAATGCAACTAAGATGAGAAACCGGGAAATGAAGCTTTATACCAACAACGAGGCACGTTGGAGCCATGTTATGTTTGAGCACCCTGCAACATTTAAGACACTAGCCATGGATCTGATGAAGAAGCAGGAGATTATGGATGATTTAATGGCATTCAGCAAAGCGGAAGAGTTTTATAAAAGCACTGGGATGGCGTGGAAGCGAGGGTACCTCCTTTATAGCCCCCCGGGAACTGGGAAGTCCACCATGATTGCCGCCATGGCAAATCTTTTGGGCTACAATCTTTACGATCTTGAATTGACTTCAGTTAAGAACAACACCGAGCTGAGGAAGCTACTACTTGAAACATTGAACAAGTCTATTATTGTGATTGAAGACATTGATTGTTCACTTGATCTCACGGGGCAAAGGAGTAAGAAGAATGATAAGGTGATAGAGAAGGAAGATACAGGTGATGGAAAGGAAAAGGAAGCAAATATACTGAGCCAGGTTACTCTTTCAGGGCTTTTGAATTTCATTGACGGGCTCTGGTCAGCCTGTAAAGGAGAGAGGTTGATAGTATTCACCACCAACTATATGGAGAAACTCGATGCTGCACTCACTCGAAAAGGAAGGTTGGACAAGCGCATAAAACTATCATACTGCACCTTTAAAGCATTCAAGGTGCTGGCTAGAAACTACCTTAAACTCGAATCACACCATCTATTCCCCGCGATTTGTGAGTTGCTGGGGGAAACCAATGTGGTTCCAGCAGATGTTACGGAGCATTTGATGCCCAAGACACTTTCTCGGAACGTTGACCTCTGCCTGCAGAACCTGATCCAAGCTCTCGAGAAGGAGAAAGAGAACGGAAAGTTAATAGCCATAGAAGAAAGGAAAGACGGAAACAATCAGCTGAAGAGGAAGTGCTTGACAAGCACACAAGATCATTTGATAGAAGATAAAAAGAGAGCCAAAAATTAGGAAAAGCATCGGATCCTTTAATACTATGTTTGTATGTTAGTGTGACTGTTTGTGTACTCAATTTCCCACTGTTGAATTATAAGCTGTGAGCAGATTAGTATTAGTGAATAAGCTATGTGTCTAATGAACAAGACTCGGCTGCTGAAAATTCAGCAGCCACTCCTGCTTACACGTGTCCACCCGTGATTGGGTGTAAGCAGGAGTGGCTGCTGAATTTTCAGCAGCCAGGTTAATTCCGTGTCTAATTATGTATTCACTTGTGCTTAAGATTACCTAGTGTAAGGCCATAAGTGTCATGTGTAATGATCCTAGCTATTAACTAGATGAGTGGCTGTGATCAGCTTCTAGAGTGTGATAGTTTTATTCTCCTCCTTTTCACGTTTTGTGGGGACAAGGAAAAGCAATCAAAAGAAAAGGCAATCACTCAAGATAATTTTTCCTCTGTGATTTGCAGAGTGAAAGGAATAGCCACTTTCCTTTTCTTCTGTGCTTTTACCTTCTTTTGTTTTCTTCTTCCAAATTAACAGTTCATAGAACCGTCTTTTTCAACTTACACTAACATCCACCTTGTATACTTTCCTTATGTTTTCTGTACAAGTGGTATGAGGAAATGAGGCAACCAAACTCAGAATCCCGAGTTCAATGAAATTTGACACTAAAATAATCTTTTTTTTTTTTAATTAATTAAATAAATTTATGTGTCCGATTCTCACAAGTGCTGACACAAGTGCTGGGAATTTCGGAAAATTTATCTACTGTGAGGGCCTTGAGAAAGCATCCATTGTCACCCTCTAAAAACTTTCATCTCCAATACTAAGCATTTCGCCATTCTCCAAATCTCTTCAGAAAGCGGGTCAGACGTATCGCCCGAGGAAAATGGATGCAACCACTACCAACCAGTGTCCCCCCAGCTAAACCTAACTTCCTCACTTCCCTATCTCTCATCCCTTTTCGTATTTTCGTCACCATTTCCCAGTCCCCTCCCCTTTCTCAGCATACTAGTTCGACATCTGCACGTAAGCATCAGACTCCGTCGGTTCCAATCCCATCAGCGCGTCGGACGGTCTCTCACCCATCTCTACGTTCCCGTGTATCCTGCATGCCCCGTGCAGGCTTTGCAGCAACGAAAACCCTAGCTGGCCTGGGATTTGACTGATCAACTTCATGAATCGTTCGGCCTTCTTCCACCCAAGAAACTACATATCGTTCATGTACTGAAACACCAATTTTGCATCTTCAGTATCCTCACACTTTGAATATGTCGAGATCAATACATTAAAAATCAAAACATGCCTTCCGTGTCCTGATTTTATAGTCACGCCATATATATGTTTCACGAGTCTTAAATTTTGCTCATAACCGTAAGTCGAAACTGCACTAGTAAATGGGACATGGTCTAACTCCATCCCTTCTCTCATCATCCAAAATCTTGTTGAAAATTGTTTCAGCGATAAAGAGACAGAACTAACATTCATCAACTTAGTTCGACAAAAAAAATATTAATCAATTCAAACACAAAGATGTGACAAGTCATCATTTGAGAATTCGTACATGAAGTCACAAAAAACCTTCAAATTCATACAAACAAACAAGTAGAAATTTATTTCTTATTGTGCTGTTGTCCAAATATTAACTGCTATAATATTGATCATCATTGGAACTCTTTTCTATGGCATCATTATTTAAGAGCGTATATTTAATTAATATATGTAAATTGTAACTTCATCAACAGCAAGTGGTCGTGCCGGAGTGGTTATCGGGCATGACTAGAAATCATGTGGGCTCTGCCCGCGCAGGTTCGAATCCTGCCGACCACGTTTTTTTGTTTGACCACGTTTTTTTTTGTTTTTATCCAATCCAATCCTAAGCACCAAACACGGCCTTGGTTACCTAACAACGTCATATGTCAAATATGGTGATAAAGACTACTTTTGATATGGTGGACAATTATCATAATTTTGTACTAGTTATGCACAGATGATGACCGTCTCTGTACAACAAGCATCGACCATGGATAGGTTGATCGGAAACTTCCAAATCCCGGCTGGATCTCTCACCCTATTCTTTATAGCCATCATGATCACTCTCGGTTTCAACGACCGTGTCATCATACCTCTTATGAAGAGACGCGAAGGCCGGCCATGTACAAAATTAATGTTATGAAATTAGGCTGTGAATTTGGACCGCGCATACAAAACGTTATTTCTAAATGATAAGACTCCTTCTTTCTGCTTGCAATGCAACCATACAGGTTTCACCCATCTGCAGAAAATGGCAATAGGGCTTGTGTTAGCAACTTTTGGGATGAGAGCAGCACAATGTGCGAGGAAGAGGTTGGCCGTGGCGAAAGCCAACGGAGGATTGAATCCTCTGCCTATTAGGGTTTTCTTCTTGCTCCCACAGTTCTTGCTCGTGGGTTATGGTAATGCTTTCATGCCCACCGGGCAGCTTGATTTCTTCATAACGGAATCGCCCACGGGGCTGAAAACTATGAGGACAGGCCTCTTCCTCGGTACCTTATCCTTCGGTTTCTTCTTCAGTAGCCTCCGGGTTTGGATTGTGAATAAGGTGACAGGAGGCAAAAATGGCGGATGGCTTGCAAAAACCATAAATCAGGGCAGGCTCGATTGTTTCTACGGACTTTTGACCATTCTCGTTGTCGGAGAGTTCGAAACAATTTATGGGAATGAAGTAACACAGCCTTTTTCGACCAATTTATGGCTGGAAGTCTATACAACTATCAAAGAAATGGAAGATGCAAGAAATTCTAGAACTACAGCTATAAAATTGGTGTTCAACCAAACCAAAATTTGACAAGCATTCAACCGAGTAGAGGCAAAATACAAGAACAAACTGGTATAAATAACACACTAAGAATAAGGCACATTAATATTGATATACTCAATAAGTTTAAGCTCTCCTCGTAAACTAAATTACGAGTCTGAAAACATTTATAATTTCGCACGGCGATGATCAAACACAAACCCCCCGGTAATTGAAATTGACGCAGCTAAATTGAACTATTGGATATAAAAATAAAGAGTAAGTAAACCACAACCGTGTAACACCACATACCCCCAAACAATAGCTGCTAACTGTGACCAATTAACAAGCTTTCCATTTCCTTCCTCGATTATCTTTGATCTAATTCGCTATCTTCATCTTTCTCACATACAATGTTTAAGTTATCTGTTAGAAAATCAATCCTCAGTCTCACTCTTCTTTCCGTTCCCTTCCCCATCTCTCTCTTCCAACAACCTACCGGCCTCCACATTGTCCTGCTGTGACTTCCTTTGCGCCTCGGCTGCCTTAAGCCCCTGCAATTTGGCATGATTGTAATACGCAACCCCGCCAAACGCAATCAGGTACCCGATCAAATTGATGGGTGTCACCATATCCTTGATCACCGACCATGAAAACGCAATCAAAAGCCAATCTTTGACAACCCCAGCAACATTCATAGTCAAAGCTGAGGTCTTCCCCACCAACAGAAACACAGCCAGATTCAAAGCGAATGCGCACACCGAATTCGTCCCGAAAATCACAAAATCAAAGTGAAAACTCGAGCTCTCCCTCAACACCGGCAGCTCAACAATGACCCACGGCACGCACAAGAACACGAAACAACACGGCGCAACATAATACAGCGAAGTAATCGGATTCAAACTAATACCCTTTGCATTAAGTAGAATCTGAATCAGAACCAGCCTTGTGGCCTCGAACGCCACGGCCAACAGCTGCAATGTAACTCCCCAGGAGTTAAATTTGGCTTCCCCATACGCCGCGATAGCGACGCCGACGGAAATGGAGACCATGTTGAGCATGGTGTCGCTCTTGAAAGCGTCCTTCTTGAAGGCGACGCCGATGGAGTAGACGGCGACCGGCATAAGGGCCTTGAGCATCTGGATGAAGGAGACGGAGAGGAAGATGTAGGCGGAATTGGAGAACCAGAGGGAGAGGGCGTAGAGGGCGCCGATGGGGACGACCGACTTGAGGTAGAGGTCGCGGGAGATGGAGACGGCGTCGACGAGGCGGAAGACGCGGACGAGAAGGAAGGCGAGGGAGGAGCAGAAGGCCATGTGGATCATGGTGAGGGAGATCGGAAACGGCCAGTTGTACATTTTCCGGTCGAGGATGTACTTGTTGTAGACGATGACGGTGAAGGAGAGGAAGATCCAGATTCCGACGTAGGCGTAGGAGAGGAGGACCTTCTTCACCACCCCCTCTGAAAGCGCCATTTTTTTGGGAATCTGAAAACCCTAAACCTAATTTGGGGGTCTGATTAGATTGGATCTGAAGTCTGAAAACTCAAACCCTAGATTTGGGCTCTCAGAGGACTGGGATTTAATAAGGAGGAGACTCTCTCTCTCTCTCTAAAAAAATGTGTGTCTTTCTCTCTCTAAATTGTGTCAGTGCGGAAGGGAGAGTGGTGGAGGAGGAGTAACAGTTGGATTAGAATTTGGGCTTTTGTAATCTCTGTGAGATATGGGTATTTTTGTAATTTAGCTAGTGTTAGGTATTCGTTGACTAAAATAATGTGAAATTTAATCTTATTTTTTATTTTTTATTGGTTTTTCGCAAATGGGAATTTGGTATTGAACAATTAAATTAAATACTATAACATAAAATGGTAATTTATTTCATCGCCTACCAGAATTAGCCGATGTGAATGCCGGAAATCAACAATACTTACCAAAGAAAGATATTGTACCATAGTGAGAGCGATAGAAATACGTCCGGTATATGAAATATAATAAAGGGGAAACTATATAAGAGAAATGTTAATGATATTCTCTTAAATCAAACTGAATTCTGGGCTAAATGCTATTTTTTAGGTTTCATTCCCCCCTCAAACCCAACCCATGCTAAATGTGTGGGTTAAAAGCTAAAAGTCAAACAAAAGCCAAATCTAAATGTGTGGGTTAAAAGCTAAAAGTCAAACAAAAGTCAAATTCCTCCCAGGATTTAGCCTAGAAAATGGTGCAGACACCACCAGTAGGACCCCACCCACATAGGCATGTCTCTCAAGATTTATTGAATTCAATGACTGAGATCGAATATAATCAAATCTAACTGTAAAAAAAAGGTCTAACCGTCCAAATTTAAATCCAATGGCTAAAATAATTAAAAAAATTATTTAACTCAAAATTCACTCAAATTTAGCGATTTTTCAATATTTATCGGAATTTAAATATTTTTATGTTAAAATGTTCATAAAATTAAATTATGATAGTGTACATAATTTTTTTTTAAATTACCTTAAAAGAAAAAATTAGCCTAAATTTATTTTTTAATAATCTCGGACTAAAAAATCTAGGTCAGAAGGGTTGGAGTAGAAAAATTGTTTATGGGCTAAAAATTTTAGGTTTTAGCCTAAGGGTTGGAGATGGTATTAAAGTAAGATTTTTTATAGACTCTCGGTCACATCATAGTTTAACGTTAATCACGTGCTAACATTATAAAACATTGTGTCAAAACATGAGGTGCCAAAGAGTTCATCAAGAGTCTCATTTTTTAGAAAGTCTTCTTATCAATCTCACAATACAATTGGTTGAAAATTTAAAAAATTTCAACCAATTGAAGATACCTACCTGTATTTCCAACACACTAGTGTTTCCTATGTATTGGAATTTCTAGACCGTTAAAATTTTAATCAATGATGCAACGACCAAAACCAAATTTCTTAGTTTTAAATTCCCTTCTCAATTTTTGGCAAGACAATTCAGTTACATACCATTATATTTTTCAGATTAAGGACCTTTGAAAGGGATTAAGAGGTGTGTTGACTAAGACCACTTAGAAGTTGGGCAAAGAAAAAGACTGAATTAGGTCGCTCGCAATCAAGGGCGAAGATCCAGGTCAGGAAGAGGAAGATGGTGACACCCGTCTTCTTCCCCCCTTGCGTGGGTTGAAAGGATGGTTCTCATGCCGACTACTCAAAGGTGCATTCAGCCATATTTGACTCCTTTACAATAACATTTGTTTCCTAGACCGTCTTTGACGGTGCAAAACTTTCCTGCAACTGAGACGTTATGGTAAAGTATTGGTACATTAAAGCTATTTATTCACTCCACATCACGGAAATTAGTTATAATTCTCTCTTTCATAGTTGTTCTCTTTAAACGGTGATTATCTCTACCAACGCTATTGGAACTAATTTTCTAAAATTTAAACGCATAACAGTGTGTGACGAGCTTAATATACAGTTGTCTTGTGATATAGACATGAGTAGATTTCATGATATGTTCTTGAGGTTGACATCAAATGGGCCTTTGGATTGCAAATTGTGTATGCCCAGAGTAGGGACTGGCCAAAAGTATGAAAGGAGCCCAAGATATTAATAGTCCACTTGCTTTGGGCTGTCACTCCAAGGAGAGAAAAAAAACCGCTAATGGGATATGATTGCAAAAGAAAAAAAAACAAATAGAAAAAATAAAAATTGTTTCATTGTTTGAGAAGTTACGCAAAGACAATTATAATGGTTAAGATTAGGCTGTACAATTTCTTGCACGATTTGTTAATTGATGGGAAATAATACGAAATAATAGGTGTTAGGTTGAGCCCAAGATATTAATAGTCCACTTGCTTTGGGCTGTCACTCCAAGGATAGAGAAAAACCACTAATGGGATATGATTGCAAAATAAAAAATAAAAAAAAAATAGAAAAATTAAAATTGTTTCATTGTTTGAGAAGTTACGCAAAGACAACTATAATGGTTAAGATTAGATTGGACAATTTATTGCACAATTTGTTAATCGATAGGAAATAATATGAAAATAATAAGTGTTGGGATAACCCATTAATTAAACAGATCATTATCGGATAACACGTTAAGAACATGTTAAAGAATCGGGTTGTCATCAAATCTTCATCGGATCTCCCGTTAAGATAACGGGTGTGACACGTAAGTGACATGAGCATGACCTGTTTGTAAGGTTTAGACATTAGATATGATCATTTCTTGCATAATTTATTAACCTAACATGAAACTACACGACATGATAACGAGTTAAGTCGTTATCCGGTCACCTGTTAAAAATCCGTTAAAATAACATGTTTGATACGACAACATGTATGACACAATAACAAACATGAATACAACCCGTTTCCAAGGTCTTGTTACAAGTTCAAAATTTCATTGCTGTTACAGTGGCCGGGCGGCCGTGAGGCATTTTCAGGCGATGGATTCTATTTGCACAGGCGAAATTCAAATTTTCTTAAAAAAAATTAATTAATTAATAAAAAAAAAAAAAAAATGAGGCCATGTACAATCAATCATGATTGAAACCAAGGTGCAATGCATGAATAAATACGGCCATGATGTGTGCCCCCACATAATAGGGGACAAAGATTTCTTTTACAGCTAATTTAGCTCTTTTCTCCAATCTGGCCATTCATTCACCACCGCGTGTTGATTCTTCTTTTAAAGTAACACGGTCCTAAAAAGTCATGCCTGATAAATTTATTTGTAACGAAAATGTTTCGCGTCGGTATTTCGTTAATCACACTCTTCATTTGTATTAAATTATTTTACTTGATAGTACGTAACTGGGTTAATGTATCATTTATTCTCTGCAAAAGGGGAACAATTGGTAGTTTCATTACGATAATCCACTATTTCAGGAATCGAAAAGACTCATCGAGACAATTCAGCCTAGCGTCAGGAATCGAATTTAGGACATGTTGTGTGAAGTACGAGCTTAAAATTCATTCCAACCATTAGGCAATCCCTTAATAATTGTGTTAAAATATCTTTAGGATGACATATAATATTGCATGAAAAATGTAATATTAAATTAAATACCGTTACAATGACGTTCCAGACGTACAAAGTCGGCTTAAGCGTGGACTCACGACAGACCTCACTGCCGAAAATCACTCATGAAAAGAGTATTCTATTACTGCATTCCCACTGCAACCACATTCCCTCAGAATCTCATTGTTTATACACACTAAACAGAAAAATTAATCACTTACCAAATTGTGTCCATTCATTCCGTGAACCCCACCAACCAACCACCTCTCGCTCTCTCTCTCTCTCTCTCTCTCATCAGTACAGATCCCTCTCCAGGCGCACAACCCCATATCCTCAGCCGCCGAAACCAAAACCCCCCAAATGAAAAAGCTTCCATTTTTCCTCACCTTCTCAGCTGATTAAATCTTGGTTGTTACTTGCTGTGAGCTTGGTCGCCGGCAACAATGGATACCAACAAGCCACAGAAGAAGAAGAAATGGTTTTTACCCTTGGTGGTTTCACTTCTTCTCTCCACCCTGCTAATCTTCATTACTGTTTTTACCTCTTCCAGCTCGTCTTCCGCATTATTTTACCGACCCCGTGTGAAAAAACACCTCCCACATTTCGTGGAATCGAAGCTAAAGATTTCGGAAACTTCCAAAAACCCAGTTCCCAGATTGGCCTACTTGATCTCCGGCTCCGTCGGCGACGGCGGCAGCTTGAAGCGGACGCTGAAAGCGCTGTACCATCCGAGGAATCAATACGCAGTGCATTTGGACCTGGAGGCGTCGGCGGAGGAGCGGCTGGACTTGGCGAGATTTGTGAAGGAGGAGCCGCTGTTTGCCAAGCTGGGGAATGTCAGGGCGGTGGTGAGGGCCAATTTGGTGACGTACAGAGGGCCGACGATGGTCACCAATACGCTGCACGCGGCGGCGATTTTGTTGAAGGAGGGTGGCGAGTGGGATTGGTTTATCAATTTGAGTGCTTCTGATTATCCTTTGGTGACGCAAGATGGTAAATTTTTGGCCTTTCTGATTCTTTTACTGCTATTTTTTCTGCTTTTGGATAATTTATGACTAGTTTTTTAATTTGTTGCTAATTTTGGTTATGCATTGGACTTTGCTATATTTTCTGTATTCTTGCATTGGATTTCTTGGTTTCTCAGGCTTATTTTGGCAGGTGCAAAGCAGTTTGTATAACTTATTATTTTCGCTTTTAGTTTTGGCAGACGTGGGTTAGGCCAGTTGGCGAGGATAATGTTTCTGCTATTTCCTTGCTCCGTAAATTAGGGTAATAGAAAATTATATCACCTTGTCCAAAAAAGTTTGTTACCGCTTCTGCTCATTGCTAACTGTACTGAAAAGCATTCGGATACTGCTATTGTTCTGTAATACAAAGAAGACGAGTGAGGGAGGGGCGAGGGTGGGTTTAGTCTTTGTAGTTTTGTTTGTGATATCCGGCATTCATGCAATCTGTTACTTTCCGTGCTGATTTCTTATCGTTGAATTTAGAGTAGGGGTTAAATGATTAAGCTGCATCGTCATATCCTAACGCCTTGATTTACGCGTTTGTCTAACAGATCTGCTTCATGTCTTGTCATCCATTCCAAGAAATCTTAATTTCATTGAGCATACCAGTGACATTGGCTGGAAG